GCCGACGTTGCCATGATACCGCGTTCGCCCAAGTCGCCAGCTCGCAGTGAAATGCCCACTGGGGTGCGCTCAGCGGGCAGCGCCACCGCGGCCGCGTCGGCCGCGCCAAACTAGTTGGGAGCTGCGCGCGCGTGCTGGGGTTGGGCCGGCCGCGGAGATGGACCAGCCAACGCCAAGTACCCATTTCAATCGCCACCGCATGCGTTTTGCAACCCAAGTTGCGGGTGGGTGGGTGGGATGTTTGCAAGAGCATAGAATGTGCCAATTCGTTTGTAAACAAACAAGTACACCACATAGATTGCACCGCGTAGAGCGCAATAATTTGTTTTTTGGGGCCCGCGCTGGCTAACATATACGTTTTCGTGGCACTCGGCTTTGAAATCTTTACGAAGTCCACAGTTTTTGACCGATGCCTGCAAGCGCGCGCGACGACGCGCGCGCATGCTTTTCGTCTCGTTTCGCGCCAAGGGTTTGTGAAACTTGATTACTTCTGGTAAACAGAGGCGCGCGCATAGTTTTTTCACCGGATGGCGGGAGGGATCGATACCCGCTGCGTTGGGATGGTACGAGTTCATTTTCAAATTTGCAAATATGTCATAATCCGATGCAACGTACATGTCGCGAGGGTAAATCGTCAGTTCCGGTTTCGGAAGGGGGTTAAATCGATTATTCTTTTGGAACGGAGAGTAAAGTAAGGCGCGTTGGTGATTTATCAACTCCATTGCTCGTACAATCATCACGCCCACACGCCCGCAACTTGGTTTGCAAAACCCAAGCGGCGGCGATTGCGATGAGTGCTTGGCGCATGTTGGCGCAGTGCTGCAGCGCGCGCAGGCTCGCGCGACATTCGCGGCCACGGTGGCGCTGACGGTTGAGGAGTTCCCAGCGCGTATCGCAGGCCGCGGTGACGCACAGGCACTTTAGTGCGAGTCCGTGATTCTGGCGGGCGCTGTATCATGGCGACGTCGACAATGGCAGACACGATGATAATAGTAGCGATGCTGGTGATGATGGTGATGAGAATGATGATGGTGGTGATGATTATGATGATGACGAGGGAAAGGCGGCCAATGACGGCGCCGTTAAGGATCATGCCGACGACGATGATGGTGTACGCATGTTGGTTGTGAAGGTTTTGGAAGGACTTGAACATGCGCGCGTTGCCGACGGGCGCGAGTTGCCGAGTTGCCCGCAGTGTATAATTTGTCGGGGGCCGTGCTCCCCCCCACCACCACCGCAACAAAAAAAAAAACACTAAGTCGTTCGAATGATTGCGACATGTGCGTGCGAGAGGTCCGTTTGGTCGCATTTGATGCGTTGTTTAATTTATGGTTGGTCTTCCCAACCATCCTGTGGCGTCCAGTCCTGGCTTTGAAAAGACAGTGCCCTTCGTTGTTTCTTTCCTCTCTCCGTGCCCCTCCTTCCTCCTCGCATCCTCCCGCTGCCCTCCTCCCACCCTTGCTTTTGCCCCCATGTAAGTCTTCGTTCCATCATCATCACCGTCATCATCATCAGCATCACCACCATCACCACAATTGCCGTCAGCATCCTCATCACCATCGCCATCGTCATCACCCGTAGCATCGCCATCGTCAGCGTCGTGCCTTTGCTCTCCACATGTGTACAATTCCAGCACACCCATCACAGGGCCCGTGGCCCCATAGGGAGCCCCACCAAATGCCCCAACAATACCGTTCACATGCGTCACGCGCCCATTTCGGCACATCGCTAAAACGGCTCGTGGCCCCATGGGGAGCTCCACGGAAGGCCCCAATGGTTGCGTTCACATGCGTCCCGCGCCCATTTCGGCACACCACTCAGACGAATCGTGGCCCCATAGGGAGCTCCACCGAAGGCCCAGTGGTTGCGTTCACATGCGCCCCGCGCCCATTTCGCCACACCCTTCACGCGCTTCGTGACCACATGGGGAGCTCCACCGAAGGCCCCAGAGGCGGTGTTCGCATGCGTCCCGCATCTGGCCCGGGACACCATTCACACTGTTCTTGGCCCCGGGAGTTCCACCGAAGGCACCAGTGGTTGCCTTCACGTACGTCCAGCGACCATGTCGGTACACCCCTCACACGGGTCGCGGAAACCGTGGGGAAGGCCACCGTAGGCCCCAGTGGTTGCGTTCACATGCGTCCCGCGCCCATCTTTGCATATTTTCCACACGGTCCGTGGCCCAGGGAGTTCCACCGAAGGCCCCAGAGGTTACGTTCACATGTGTCGTGCGCCCTTTTCGGCACACCCTTCACACGGTTTGTGTCCTCATGGGGGGTTCCACCGAAGGCCCGAGTGGTTGCGTTCACATGTGTCTTGCGCCGACCATTTCGGCAAACTCTTCACACGCTTCGCGGCCCCATCGGGAGCTCTACCGAACGCTCCGGCGGGCGGACCCGCATGGTTGCCTCGGGTCATTTCCGCACACACACACACACACACCACACGCTTCGTGGCCCCATAGGGAGCTCCACCGAAAGCACCAGCGGAAGGGTCCGCACGGCGGCCTCGGGCCATTTCGGCACATTTTTCGCACGCCCCGCGGCCTCATAGGGAGCTCCATTGAAAGCCCCAGCGGCAGGGTCCGCATGGCGGCTTCGAGTCGTTTCGGCACCCTTCGCACGCTTCGAAGTCTCATATGGAGCTCCACCGAAGGCTCCAGTGGCAAGATCCGCCCGGCAGCCTCAGGCCATTTCTGGCACCAGTCACACGCTTCGCCGGCCCATGGGGAGCTCCACCAGAGGTTCCATCGGCAGGGTCCGCATGGCGGCCTCGGGCCATTTCGGCTCACCCTTCGCACGCCCTGGGAGCTCCACCGAAGGCTCCAACGGCATGGTCCGCATGGCGGCCTCGGGCTATGTCGGCACACCCATCACGCGCTTCGCGGCCTCATATGGAGCTCCACCGAAGGCCCCAGCGGGTGGGTTCGCATGGTTGACTCGGGCCATTTTTGTGCACCCCTCGCACGCTGCGTGGCCACATCGGGAGCTCCACCGAAGGCTCCACTGGCAGGGTCCGCATGGCAGCCTCGGGCCATTTCGTCACACCCCTCACACGCATCGCCGCCCCATAGGGAGCTCCACCGAAGGTTCCATCGGCAGGATCCGCATGGCGGCCTCGGGCCATTCTGCCCCCCCCTCACACACCTTTCATGGCCCCTCGCGGCATTTTTGTGTATATATATATATATATATATATGTGGGTGTGTTACGAGAGATATGTGTATATGAACATGCATGGCAGACAGACAGACAGACAGACAGACAGACAGACAGACAGACATCCGTACATACATAGTTACATGTACGTGCATATACAGACATGCATGCATACATGCATATATACACACACATATATATATATATATATATATACGTACATATATACATGCGTGCGTGCGTGCATGCGTGCGTGCATACATATATGCATGTATATAAGGACGCATACAGATGTTGCATACATACATAACATGCATACAGACAGACAGCCCGACGCACAGAGACAGACAGACAGACAGACAGACAGACAGACAGGCAGACAGAGACATACACATACACACACATACACATCCACATACACATACACTTACACATACGCATACACATGCACATACACATACACATACATATACGCATGCACATGTACATACACATGCACAGACACACATACATACGTACGAACATACATACATGCATACATGCATGCATACATGCATACCTGCACACATGCATGCATCCATGTATGCATGCATGCCTACATACATACTTACAAACAGACATGCATGCATGCATGCATGCATGCATACATACATACATACACACATACACACATACATACATACACACATACACACATACATACTCACCAAACGTTAGAAACCGATTGGTTTCCGAAATAATTTGCAAGAGCCCGCGCACATATGAATTTCCCGACGATCATGTGGTGCTCAGTTCTCGTTTTGAAGAGACAGCGCCCCGCGTTCCTCCCCCCCTCCCTCCTCCCTTGCGTGCCTCTGCTCTTCGCATTGTTATACGATTTCGGCACACCCCTCATACGTGTCGTGGCCCCATGGGGGGCACCGAAAGTCCTCGTGGCGGTGGTCGCATGCGCCCCCACCCCCGATCCAGCACACCCCTCAGACGTGTCGTGGTCCTCATGGGAGCACGGAGCGTGCGAAGCGTGTGCCGACATGGGGCGGGGCCGCCATGCGGGTGAGGGGTGTGTCGAGATGGGGCGTTGGCGCTATGCGAACCCTGCTACTGGGGCCTTAGGCGGAGCTCTCTATGGGGCCACGAAACGTGTGGGGGGTGTGCCGACATGGGGCGGTGGTGCCATGCGAACCTTCCTACTGAGGCATGCGGTGGAGCTCCCTATGGGGCCACGAAGCGTGTGAAGAGTATGCCGAAATGGCGCGGTGGTGCCATGCGAGCCTTCCCACTGGGGCCTCAGGTGGAGCCCCCTTATGGGGCCACGAAGCGTGCGAGGGGTGTGCCGAAATGGTGCGGCGGTGCCATACGAACCCTCCCACTGGGGCCTTCGGTCAAGCTCCCTATGGGGCCACGAAACGTGTGAGGGGGGAGCCGACATGCGGCGGCGGTGCCATGCGAGCCTTCCGACTGGGGCCTAAAGAGGAGCTTGGGGCTACGACGCGTGCGAGGGTTGTGCCGAAATTGGTTGGGCCTGAGGCCTGCGATGGAGCTCCCTATGGGGCCACGAAGCGCATGCGGGGTGTGCTGATATGAACAGGCGGAGGGCAGAGGCAGGCATGGGAGGATGGAGAAGGGAAGGGGTGCAGGAAGGAAGGAAGGAACGCGGGGCGTTGTCTCTTCCAGACGAGGAACCAACACCACAGGATGATTGGGAAGCATAGGAAGAGGTACATGTGGCGCGTTCTGGAAAGGGCCTCGCCTTCGGCGCGTCTCTCCCTCGGCGGAAGCCATCGGAAGACAGAAGAGATTCATTGGCTGTCCCGCCAGCGGAAGGCCAGCGGAAGTAAAGGCCAGATATATTCGTGCTCGCACGCATCTAATGCATTCAAATTTCCGTGCCCGAGCAGGCAGGAGCGGGCGGGGAATAGGAGGGCACCAGCGAATGCAGCGCGAGCCTCCTGAACGTTACGGTTTTGGGCTGCGGTTTCTCCATGGTGGAGGGGATGCTCTTCATCCTCCTCCGGGAGATGGAGGCATCCACTCTCCTATGCGGTTTCTCGGTTGTCGTCACAGTGATATTCGAGTTGCCAATTTTTGCGTACGCGAAGCCTCTCTTGAGGCGCCTGGGCAACCAGAACATGATTTTGTTGGGGCAGGCCGCGTGGGTGGTGCGGGCCCTTTTCTATTGGAGGATGTCGGCTGCTTGGTCCGTCCTGTTAATCGAGCCGCTCCACGGCATTACGTTCGCACTTGTGTGGACTGCGGCCATTGACCACGTAGCGCAGCCGGGCGTGTGCGGCGAGGGCCTCGAGGCGTCCGCCCAGGGTCTGCTGTCCAGTTGTTTCATGGGCGTCGGGCCGATAGTGGGTTTGTTGTTGGGCGGCGTGCTCTTTGACAAGCTAGGCGGGCACGTGGCATACTCAATTTTCGCAATTTGCGTATGTTTCTCTGAGGTTATAACAGGGCAGATGGCCCAGCGGGGCGGTATTGCGCGTTCGAATGGACAGGCGATGGCGCACAGGGGTGCGAGCAATACCGCCCCCCTAGGCTACCCATCCTTGTTGCAACCACCGAGTTTCGCTGGGCTCGTGTATTGGCATTACGGCGACCGCGAGGCTTCCAAGACGAACTTGCCTACAGAAGAGGTCGACCCTGATATCGTTGGCAAGATGCCGACGCAGCCTTACGATACTTAAGCATTGTCCAGTGATGCGTGAATCGTTTGTGCTTGGCTTCTGAAGGGTTATTGGCGGTAGGTTCTTTAATTCGAAGGCATCAGCATCCTGCATGTGACGCCTCACTTGGAGCATGTATGTTCGGTTGATTGATGTGCATTATTTTTGGGCGTGCTTTGAAAAGCCGGTCCGCTTCTGACGTAAGGTTCAGTCAGTTTTCGCTCGCGTTCCATGGCTTACGTCCCCGACTGCAGCCAAAATCACCTAGCATTAGTTGGTTGCATTATTTTGCGCATTTGCCATCTTGGCTGTTTTGCTACAGCTCCCGACATACCCACTAGTTTCGAGTTGCCTTGAGTTGTTTCAGCAAAAGACCACCATGTCCGAGGGAGACAACGTATCGGTAATATGCCCAGTGGAAATGGATGCGCGTCGATGCGCGTCGATGTCGACGCTACCCTGAAGCGGCCGCACATTGTATTGGACACCTGTGGATTTCGATGCACTCGACACGAGAATTGTAGGTGTTGGGCGTGCACTCGAAGCATTACTTTGTGGAAAATAGATTCCCCGACAGTGACGCCTGTATCGTGCTATGTGTTTACGCTGCCAGGGTGGGATTCGCAAAGTCTTGCCGCAGAAGTACAGAGTGTTGCGTAAGTCATGCAAGGGGAGCCGCTTCAGGTTGTGATAGACATTGGCCGTGGAAATAGAAAGCCGAGTCATGCCTACAAGCCATCTGTTTTGTGAGGTTTGCTCGATAGCGTGTTTTTGCGAGCCAACGGCATTCCGCAGAACCGCCGCACGGGTTTGTTAGCATCGGATGTTGGAGGTGAGATCGAAGCGGCATGGAGACCCCCACAGGGAAATCCCTTTCGGCCTCGTGTCTGCGTGGGCGGGCGAGCGCAATGACATCGTCGTTGTGAGGGCGAGCTCGGGCCAAATGTTGTTCCCCCTCCGGTTGGCCAGCGGTGGCCC